CAGGAAGGTCGGGAAGTGACGAAACGAGAGTTGCAGCGATTACGGGAGTACTGTCGAAGCCCAGACGCGGACGTCTGGAAAATCACAAGCAAGGTACACGATCCGAGGAGGTGGGCATCTATTTCACACATCAAGATAATCCAGTCAATTGAAACAGTTCCGTTGCATTTGTCATGAGACGATGAGCTTACTGCCGCTTTCGGTAACTGCAAAACAATTCTGTAAGGCGGAATATAAAGCCGAGAAGAGCAGCGGTAGTAGCTAGCGATGAGAGGTAGGAGGGCGTGGATTGACTTTTTGGCGAGTTTGCTCTTTTGCTCTGGCCAGCAACATAGCTAGGAAGTCTCCTGACATCATTATTTCATCAGAGTTTGCGTACAGGTGCTTGTATGCCCGTAATTATTTAGTCACTTTTTGCAAGGATAGTACAAAGAATATTCATAACTTGGTTCAGTCAATTGTTTAGCAGATATGGAAAGCAGTTCTGAGCTCAGTATCTCTGTACGAATGCAAAGAGCTACACCTTACTCTTATTGTACGGGTTGATTTTATGACGTCCGTGAGACAAGTCATTCACTTTCTCCTTCCTCCGATCAGTTTGTCTTTATTTTGACTGTTGTGTTGAACATTGATCTTTCTGTTCTGAACCGTGCTCTTGGTGATTTTGGTTCGTTTAGGACCCATATTATTGATGCATTATTTCAGGCTTGCGCGCTTCGTCGACGGCAAAGAGAATCATGTTTCAGAGGAAGAGGAGGATTTGTACGAAGAAGATTCAGGCCGCCTGGATAAGTTAGCGTTATTCTTTTTTCCTGCATTTCTTCCAAAAATGCGATGCTGAACTTTCATTTAATCTCCTCTGCTCTATTTTCCTACGCTTTTGCTTGCAGTGATTACTATGACGAAGATGAGGAAGACCGTAGCAGTGTTGAGCGGAGATACTCGAATAGTCGATACCTTGACGAAGATGATGGTGAAGAATGGGAAGAGGAGGTTGTGATCAGGCGAACTCCAAAAGGCGATTTGAGAATTACTCCAGCTTGAAAGAGTAAGTCTATGTTACTCCATTATGATTTTCAATATTAGTGCACCTCACTTTTATTTCCGGGGGACAGTTTTGAAGAAGTCGATGTCAGCGCCTGAGCCTAGAACATTCCAAAATCCATTGTTCATGTCTTTGTCTTTTCTTTCTTTAACTCGCTTTCTACTCAGAAACTCTGAATGACTCAGTTATAGTTGTAGAAGATGTTGTTCTTGGTATTAGCATGAGTTATGCAGGCTTGCGCTAGTTTAGAAGCTGGGTTGGGTACTTGGAGATCTCCGTAAGGCGCAAAGGGATTAAATAATAAAATTAACTTGAATCTGTTACTGTGAAGCGACGTTTAGGTCTTCGTTCAGAAGGTCAGCCGCTTTACCGAAAGACGGATCACGGCTTATGGAGATTCCGTCTCCATCGAGATCACCTTACTATCAGAACACTTCGCAACAGCGATATTCTTCTTATCGCCAATCTTCTGCGTCACCATCCAGAAGATACGTTTCATTGTGAGTTTGCCGTGGTTTTCCTGGCCATCTTCTTCAGGTCGAATTCATTTGATTTAGAGCTGACAGAGATACAAGAAAACACGATTCGTCGTCCTTCCGACAGCACACAAGTCGACTGGAGGAACCGATGGCCCCTCAAAAGTAAGCTCTGCTATCCATTTTTGATGGTCGTAGCTACCGAGTAAACGTTACTGTAAATACCGACATACCTACCTTAAAGGATCCACCTACTAGAGCCATTTTTATGAATTACAGGCGAACTGCACCTTCAAACTCTAGCGAATTCATCAGCTCGGATTCGGAGCCCGACCTTCAGGGCTTGGACGATAACGTCTATTAGAAGAAGTGCTCCAAAATTCCGGGTGACGTCTGGTGCTGATTTGCGTGGATTTTTCTTTTTTGTTCGAGTTTCTAACAAAAAATGTCGATCTGATGGTTGTTCATAACTTATTTTTGTAGCTATTGTTGAAATTCACTATTCTGTTGGCTCACTTCTCTAACGTAACTCATACTTACTATTGTTAGACGACTTCTCTAACAATAAATGTAGCCAAAGGTCACCGCGCGACGTCACGCGCGTTTCGCCTGAAATTTGCTCACCAAGTGCGCAAGTTTGAGCTGCACGTGGTTTAAGGTGCGGTTCAAATTCTGCGGCGTGTGGGGACGGGCTGCTTTCTTGAGGCCACCTACCGTCTGCGCGAAATCGCGCTGCAGATGCTTTCGTTGTTCGATGCCGTTGCTGTGCATGCAACGTGCCTGTAATCTATTTCGAGGCGGCATCATATTCTGGTAGCGAAAAAATCTGCAACGCGACCGCGCGCAGACGTAGTACGATGACCTAGCTCAAAGCTCCAAGCTGTAAATGAGTTTCTTGCTACACACGTGTCTTAGTCGAAATTCACACCACTTTTTGGTGAAACCCATGTGAATAGCGCTTTCACTTTTGTCTTTTCTGTACGTATCCGTCCGATGTCCTTTTAATTGTTGATGATCTCACATTGAATAATAATTGAATGAATGATTTCTTCCCGAAGTTGAGACACTATGTACTAATTGGTCTTGCAGGCCAAACGTCAATGCATTGATTGCTGGCTTGAAATAACCGGTACTGGATTGAAACATATACTCGTTGATAGGGTAGCCGTGACATAATCGGGGGTATTGCTCCCCTATACCACTCTCGCCATAGGACCCATGCAGAGTAGATACTAAAATTATTGCTTTTGTAGGAATCAGGAGGGGCCGGTGACACTGTTTCAAGTGAGCTAGGCTATTACAGAGTAGTTAAGATGAGGTTTCTAGGGGTAGATAGCTATCCAAGATTCAGAAATTCAATTATTCTGAAAGTGTCGTCCGGAGGAATTTTTTCCATGATCCTTTTAAGGCATAAATAATATTCGGAATCAAAAGAGATCCCCCAGACGACACCCTGGACGCGTATGGTAAAGCACATGTCTGACCCTCTGCTACGCGTTGTGGTAGATGGGCGGCACTTTCCAGTGCGGTTGCTGATAGTCTTTCTCGAATTCACTCAAATGTGACATAATGCTGGCGTAGCAGGGATGATCGGTAAGAATCGGTATGGCTAATTCCTCAAGCATCCAATGCATTTCAGCGACATCGTTCACTGTCCACACAGCCACATGACGACCGCGTTCCTTCTGTTCCATCACGAATTTATACGACAGAATATGATCACAGTCAGTTGTCACTTCTTTTCTTAACGCGTTCTAATTTTCATATGACTTTGAAACTCATTCATTGACTTCTTTACGATTTTAAAAATGCATATCTTTTTATACTTCGGGACATTTTCTGAATTGAGGTAATTCAAAATTTGAAAAGGCTCATAATTTAAATATGCTTGAAGTATTACTTTTGGTAAAACAAGTTTTCTCACTATTTGATTACTTTTCCTAAAATCGTCCTTTCCTCATCCTTTTGTCGCTTTCGGCATGTCCTTCTACCAATGTTTACAGTTATTTCGTTATCCCACATCCCCCATATGCTCCCCTTCTCGAAAGCGCTTTTGCGGGCGTAACGCACTCTTCTTCTCAGACTGAGCTTTAATTATACGTTGAGGAGGTCACACGAAAAGCAGCCGCGGTCAACCGTCACGTTTCGCATTTCGGATTTTTTGCGACCCCTAGCTCTCGCATGGGAGTCCAGTTCGAACCTGTGTTTGTTAATAAGAGGCTAGACGGCCATTGCGCAGACAGCGTCTCGCATTGACCGGGTCAGGCCTTGGAGCGCGGCAGGTATCACCCGGGCGCTGGAAGAACGGGACGCGGCGAAGAAAAATTTTAGAGGGGAATAACTTTCTTGGGACGTATTTTTTGACTTGTTGAGGTAGATTTTGATTGTGCCTGAGGTGCGCTTCAGAAAACTACAAGGATTGCCTAACTCTCCGGAAAGTACTTCTGTTAGAAGTGGAAAACCCAAAATTCTAAGAAGGCGCACCTTCAACTTTGAAGGCCCATAAAATCTTTCGTATGCGACATTTTGGAAATCTGTAAAAGTTTCAGAAACTTCAATATTTCTCTAACAAAACAGTATAAAAAGTTTAGTGATTGTCCCCTTTTTCAAAAAATTGTCCCGTTCGAACATTTTTCGTGCAAAAGCGAGTTTTTGGGCTTTCAGCGACCATAACTCACTTCATTTTCATTTCTGTGATGCACTTTTTTCATGGGGTGAAAGTACAGGATTTGCTCTTTCTAACAAGCCCAAACCTTTTTTCAAAGTTTTTCCGAGAAAATCACACGTTCGAACATTTTGGGGGGTTTTGCCGAACACTTTTTTTGAAATCGCGAGTTTTTGGGCTTTCAGCGACCATAACTCACTTCATTTTCATTCTGTGATGCACTTTTTTCATGGGGTGAAAGAACAGGATTTGCTCTTTCTGACAAGCTCCTAAACCGTTTCCAAAGTTCATTTTTCGAGAAAATCACACGTTCGAACATTTTGTTCCCATAGGTTTTTGAGCAGCACATGCGAGTTTTTGAGCTTTCAGCAATAATAACTTCCTTCAAAGAACTTGTTGGGGAGGGGCGAAGACATTTTTGAAGACTACGAGATTTCTGCTTTCTTATGTGTTTTACCGTTGTCTGGAAGAATCGTCCTCAGAAAATTAGGTCCCGAAAGAACTTTAATTTCAGCCCCGAGAAGTCAAACCTTTCATAGGGATGCATCCAGCTGTTCTTTACTCCTTGAGAAAACACTGTAATTTGCCTAAAACTGAATCTCTGTGCATAATAAATCGAATCTAATGCGGTCTGCACAAGCAAGTCTTGCCCTCGGATACGCCACGCACGCGCCTGTGGCTGGCAGTCCTCGAAATTGCGACCCCCTTCCGACCAAAATGCGACCCCTTCGTTCGAACAGTTCGAACGGACGGTTGACCCTGCACGAAGGTCTTTCAGGTGAGCCTCGCTTCTTAGAAACGGTTCTTGCATTAAGGAACATATGCATGGAACACCGACTGTGGGATTCTCCTGACGGATCGGCAAGACAATGAGTGTCGCAAAACGCTAAAGCACCCAATCATTCTTGATACGAAGTTTTGGATAAACGTATTTCTAAAAGGGTGACTGATTGTCGCCCGAGATTACCTTTTATACATCATGCAGCGATCACTCAAACTTTGTTCACCACGGGTTACTGCACACGAACTCCCTATTTCGGTGTTCCGTAGACCGCTCAGGAGAAAAAATATGTTCCATGAATGGGTTCTAACCCAATGCAAAAATCCGTTTCGACAAAGAGGGGCACAAGTTGAAACACTTCCTGTTCAGAACAATCACCCTTATATTCCTTCTGTGAGCGTCTCACCCCTTTCACGCTCGTTTCTGAAACGTCATGCTCTTTTCACATGTAATCTATCACCTAGCTGTCCATTAGCGCAGCATATGCAGTCATTCATATCGCTATGACAAATATCACTGAAGTTGAAATAACTCACTTTGATATGTCGAAGTTGTTAGTGAGCAGCAGATCAGCTCCGAGGAACCATGGTGTGATCAGCTTCAGTAGAAACACATGAATGATATCAAACAGAACGAAGATGTAGTGCATTAAACCACTGTATCGAGGCAGGGTGTTTTCGATGTCCTTGTAGGAGAAGAACTTGCTACGCCAAGTGAGACCTCAAAAATCTCTTCTTCAGATTTTTTTCGCTGATGCGGTTTTTGTAACAGTTCAAAATAATTATTGAAAACGAATTTATAAACTGATGAGAATTTGTTGATTTTGTACTGAAGTCGTACTCATATGTTATTCAGTTTCTGTGATAAGCAGACTTACCGCTGAGTATTTTCTGGTTGCCCTGTTTGATGAGGTAGACCACCCATGGATAAAAACTGCACACGATTGCTCTATCATAAAGGTTGTATTTCTCGAACAGGTCTCCAATAATGTGCACAAGCTGAAAACTTTCACTGGAAGAAAACCTTTTGACAGCACGATTTTAGAATATTTGAGCTGTCCCAGAAGTCGCGCATGTTGACGGCAATAAGTAAACGAACCTCTGGGTCAGAATCCTTGACATCGAAAAGCATCTTCATGTCGTTATCAACTGCCCATTTTACCACTGCTTCAAGCCTGGGGATGCCTTCGTTTTGGACAGGTGCCAAATCGCGTTGCCTGAAAGCAGACCCACTTTCCACATACTCTGCGAATAATTGATTATGAAGCGAAATTCTAATGCAAATGCTATACGTTGTTCTGGTGAAGTTCGCGCTAATATTGGCGGGCGCTAGCTGTGCCAGAGTTTTTTCGCGTATTGGACCGCTGAGGTTAGTGGTCCGGTCCAAATCATCGTCATGTAAAAGCACGGCCTCACCGTCTTTCGTCAGCGCCACGTCGAATTCAATCAAATCAGCACCATCAGTCTTTGCCTGGGCAATGACCAATCGATAATTTCAATCAGTACTGTACAGCTAATGAAGGAAGTCAATCAATTACCTGCTTGAATCCAGCCATACCATTCTCTGGGAAAGACTTTGGAGCCCCACGATGTCCACCAATACGGAAGCCGTCAAAAAATTTGCGTACCTTAACGATTATAGGTGGGTTAACGTTTGAATACGGTTTACTGATTACTGTATTCAAAATAATCATAGGATCACTCACATGATTAGGGTTGCATGGCTTGTTACGCAAGAACACCACAGCAAGCACAAGCAGTCCTGCCGTTATTGGTAGCAGAACAGGAAAGCAGTAGAATAAGGCAACAATAATTGCAGAGGTCCCAAGTAGTTTTGGCAGTAGAGGATGACTAGGCCTAATTCTCATACCCATGATCTGTAATGATGATTTTTTGAGAAATAAGAAGGAAGTAAAGAAGGTTTAAACGGTAAAACAACTGTGAATTAAACAGTACAGGTAAAATACGAGCGTGAGCGCACACATAACTTTTGAAAACCGGAAAATGGAACGTGAAATAATTAAAAGGAACAGAGAGTATGAGTGAGTGAAATTTTCTCAGGATATGGCGAAGTTCATGGACTTGACTGAACCTAAGATTTTCAGTACTGAAAGGGTAAATCAAATCTGGACGTGACTATTTTTTTTGAAACAAAAGTGATTGCCTAATTGACCACCTTGACATTTTAATTTTGTTCCTATTCAATTTTTTATGATGCCACACCCTTTTTGCCCTACTCTTATCTCCGTACTTAAGCGATCACTGATTAAGCGGCCGGCTCGTTACAGCTGAAGTGTCCAGA